TTCATTTTTACCTCTCATGAATTGTGAGGATAAGGGTCTTTTTTTTTTTTTTTAGACAAGGCCAGAGCGGACCTCCTATGGGGGGGGGGGGGGGGTGATACGAGCAGCCTCCCCTAGTAAGCCTTTGCTCACCTGCTGGAAACCAGGTCCAGCGTCCCTTATATACATGAGAATGAGAAAACTGGGGGACAAGGGTCTCTACATTATCCCAAACAAGAAAGGGGTAACTACCACGCAGTCACTTTTTCAGTTGTAAATCCACTTCAGGCATCCCTCGAATACAACACATCCCCGTCCAACCCTAAAGCTGGGTTGGATACATTCACGAGTTTCCTAGCTTTGGAGCAAAACTCACGAAACCGTGACTGAAACACATTTAAAATTGAAAACCTTGACTGCACCCTAGTCTTCCCGCAAGACAGAGAAAGCATGGCAGCACTCCGGTCACTACAACTCTGGATTCCACGTACGACACTTGGCTAGGGTCCCACTTTTCCATACTCTTCTTTCCAGACCATAGATTACAAAGATCAACGGCCAGAAACGAACAATCCACGCAAGTGGAACATTGCCCCTGTTGGTCCAGGAGCCAGTGGGATAATGGCCAGGTGGAAACCAGGTTTACACCACATCATCCTTTTTTTTTTTTTTTTTTTTTTTTTTTTTTTTTTACACCACATCATCCTCACTGGCAGTACCTCCACACTGACGTCATGAACATAGTGAAAAGCATCTGGATTCTGGACCTGCTGACACCCTTGATAGTAAGGTGTGTATTGCAAAATACCAGCCTTGCTGAGAATGCATCAGAGTCATGGTCCTGCGATTGGGAGAGCCCACCTACCTTTCACCGATGAACTGCCGTACGTCCAGGCGCCCTCCTCGAAAAGGCTGGAGTCATCTACTGGTGCAAAGCCTCTTTTTTCTTTTTCCCTTTTTTTTTTTTACCGACCGAGCCTGCTACTTCTGCATTTTTTTGTTTGAAAGGATGATGGCCTTGAGGTATCATCGTCGAACTGAACGTCCCCAGGTAAATCAGACTTAATTTTATTTCTTCTGACGATTCTCTGATGATTCCGTCAGGATCCGGATTGTTGTACTTACAAGGCACACTGGCCCCGCTTTCCAGCTGGTGAAGCTCCCCAGAGTCCCCACCAATAGAACAGAGCCTTTCTTGTGTTGAAAAAAAGAACAAAAAAATAATTCCGACTTAGGTCGGCCTATTAACAGTTTATATGGGTGTAATGTTTTCAGGGTTCGACTCCTGCGAAGGAGCCTGAGAGATGGCTACCGTATCCAAGGAAGGCAGCAGTCGCGAAAATTACGCGATCCGGACATAGGGAGGTAGTGGCGATAAATAACAATATATATCCGGTAATTGGAACGAGAACAGTGAGGAAAAGAATGAAGACCGAGCATTCTGCCAGTAGCTGCACCTCCCTTTTCATCATCCCCCACCCTCCATCAGGTAGCAGCAGTGCCTAAGGCCAGCACTCTCCCACACACCACACAACCCACTCACGCTCACACTCACACCCGTGTCGGCGTGTCGTTCCTCTTTTTTTTTTTCTTTTTTTTCCCGCTTTTTGTTTTTTCTTTTCTTTTTGTTTCCCGGTGGGTGTGTCGGTGGGTGTGTCGTTTTGTCGTTTCGTTTTTTCTTTTCTTTTTGTTTCCCGATGGGCGTGTCGTTTCCCCGGTGGGCATGTCGTTTCCCTCTTTTTGGTTGCGGGCGTAGGCCGCACCGCCCGCACCGCGGGCACTACGCTAGTAATAATAATGACCTAAGCATCCAAGGGTCAAGCCCCGTTGATGCTATGTGATCAAGGCTGAAGGGGGTAAGGATGGAAGTCCCACTGTGCTATGTGAACAGGGGCTAAGGGTATAAAGGGTGAAGCCCCCCCACTGCTGCTATGCCTGCGATTCACATTAGCAAGTGGCTGGCTGATGCAGGGACCACCGTGTATTTGGAACCTGGCCTCTACAACAACCTGGGCTTAAAAAAAAAAAAAAAGAAGAAGAAGATAAAAAGGATTACCTTGATTATTTTATGGCATCATCTGTGAGGGCATAGCAACCACTCGTGGGGCTTCGCCATAGCCACCATTTCACATGTAAAAAACAATCGTGACAGTGATTTCAGTTTCTGGGGCACTGACACAAACCCTTCATATTTGGGGCTATTGTTATGGCAAAACCCCTGAGATTGCATAACTAATCTATCCCAACGACCCCATGTGGTAAGGAACCACTCCCTCACAGTAAAGATTCGATGATTTCTCCGAAAAAAAGAAAGACAATAGGAGAGAATTGACGGTTTTGCTGAGCTCCTCCAGTCAACCCGCATCCTTTTTTTTTTTTTATCTTAGATGTTCCCCAAAATAGGCAGAGGCTGAGTCATTTCTCAGCCACGAGAGGAGTGCCATGATTGCAGTTCTTGAGGCCAATGCTACATACTCCCAGCTTTGAAGTTTGAAGTGACTGAGAGCATAATATACTGACACGAGGATTTTGCTGGATGTATCTGATCACAATTCGGCCTCTTCCTGGATGCATCTGAATGCAATTACGTCTAGAGCTGAGTCAAAAAAGTTCTAGTGCCCACGAATAGATTGGAGCATGTTCCCATTAAAAAAAAAATGCTAGTGCGGGTATGCTCGGAGTGGATGTTGGGGATAAAGCCCTCCAAAAAAGCGCTTCATCTTGGCCACCTAATTTGTTCCATGGCAGATCCAATCCAGCACCAACCTAACCGTTGCGAGGCTTGCAATTTGTCCAGCTACTAGTGGACTGGAAGGTTGCTTGTGCGGAGAAATGCTTGCACATTGGGGGGGGGGGGGAAAAAAAAAAAAAAAAAAAAAAAGAGACTCGGAAGATTTTCCTTGATAAGGGGGCCTTTTTTTCTTTTTTTTTTAAATGGGAACAAAGCTCCAATCTATTCGTGGGGAGCAACATGTGCTGGGAACCAGGCCCAGCGTCCCATATAAAAAATTACATAGGATTTTGAAAAAAATTGAGAATTTGTAGTACCGGGACCACTACCTGGCTTTGGCTAAGAGCTAGATAAAGAGATACAAACAAACTACCGAAAATAGGCAAAAATTCAGGAACAGACTCAGACCCCCCTCCATCCTCCTCACCTCACTCCGGCAAGACTTACTGCAGCAGAGCCACCATCTCCGCTGCTGCTGTACCCTATTTCCATCCCACCAGCAAGCCCCCTCACTAGTAGGACGCTTGTTATCCCACCCTCTACTTCTCCCACTCACGTAAGCAAAAGTTCAGAGAACGTCCCAGAAACCCCCATCCATCCTCTTACCTCGCTCCGGCAAGACTTACCGCAGCAGAGCCACCATCTCCGCTGCTGCTGTACCCTATTTCCATCCTACCAGCTAGCCGCCTCACTAGTAGGACGCTTGATATCCTTCCCTCTACTTCCAACACCAGCCAACCGCGACGTTCTGTCATCGAACCACCATAGATCTATGAATATAACTACATCAGAGAAGCCTACAGTGAGTGGCAAGAAGCCTCCAGAATCCTGAAGCGATCTCACGACCACCAGAAAACAAAACAGACTTACTCATGAAAAATGAGAACCCATTGGGATTATCTGGAAGCCCATATAAACAAGAAACTTCCTGCCCCAATGTTATCAACCGACTATCCTACGGCTGCCTCGACCCACATATCCAAGATACCCGGCTGTTCCAGGCCTCACACCCCCAACCGCTGGGTTACAGGGCGGCGCGACCCACCCCAGCTCCGACCTGCGTCGTCCTAATAACAGCTCGCAGTTAGCCACTGGACTGCCGTCCACCCTCGGCAGTTCCCCAGATCTCTCTACCAGGCCTCTAACCCCCGCATACTCAGGTTACAGGGCAGCGCAACCAAACCCCAGCTCCGGCCAGCGTCGTTCTGGCATCGGCCAGCCCTAACCTTATGGACATGATGGCGATAACCCACCGTCGGATAATCTGTTGAACACACCGTGGCAACTAAGGCTTCGAAATGCCCGGCTTCCTCCATGCACCGGTCGTGCTCAACACCCCCAAACCACCTGAACACTACCCCTGACCCCCCTCCGGCAAGACTTATCACAACGGAGCCACCATCTCCGTTGCTGCTATGCCCTATTTCAGTCCTACTGACTGACCCCCTCGCCAGCAGGATGCGTCACCTCCCTCCCACTACTAACCCCTCTCAAACAGGAGTGTATCACAACGACCAGTGCAAGAACAAAACGCTAGAATCACAGCATCAGAAAAAACAAGATTCAACAAATTCACGATACCATTGGAAATCTAAAAAGTTAGAAATCACTATTCAAGATCAGAGATGAGGCTCCGATTTACGATCGTCAATATGAAAAGAACAAATCGAGAGTTATTCAAAAATTATGAAGATCATTCATGATCCCACTCTCTTGAATCATGTTTGTGGATTATTTTTCACGAGTTCATTGTGAAAAGTTAGAAATCATTATTCGAGATCGGAGGCGAAACTCTGATTTACTATCATCAACATGATAGGATCAAATCAAGAATTATTCGAAAAAATTTTGAATTCATTCACGAGTCCGCAGTTCTTGAATCAAATTAGAATTGAAAAACCTAAAGCTACCTGTCATGAGAAAATCAAATAGAAAATTCCAAAAGATTAAATTCGAAAAAACAGAGATTAGAATAAAAAAATCGGACTTACAATCATGAAATCAGGTTACTATCTTGAAGCTACTTCCAAAAAACGAGATCAAAACGAAAAAATGGAGGTCACTCAAACCACAAAGAGCAAAACTATGGATCAAAACATATAAACTAACCTCTCATCATGATGTGTCTGTCTCCCCCAAACCTTCATCCCCTTCCCTTATCGGCCCGAAGGCAACTCAGCCATCACATGGCCACTCTCTCGACCATAAAAAAAAGACTGAACAATAAGGACTAACGGACCGTGGCTTCACTTTACCCCTCACTTGCCACGTAGCAAGACAAAACCACCGAACCTGCCAGTGACCCCTCACTGGTAGTCCGGGGGGGAACAAACCTTCCATACCCTTCGTTGCCCTTCAGCACCTAACTCTTTCCTTGGACACGTGACACCCCGCAATTCGTAACTCTGATGATGATGCTGGCAGCCCATACCCTTCACAACCCTTCACAAGCAGTCTCTTCGTAGTAGTGTCATCCTCTACGCACGATGCATCACCCTCATCGCCATCCTTCCCATCATCATCCCTTCACCCAAAACCTCTCAACCACCACCTCACACCACCTCGAATCCACTCCCCCCAGCACCGCACCGCACCGCACCGTCGCTTGTTGTCGACCAGCGCCGCTTGATTCGACTTCGCGCTACTCCGCCGCATATCACCGCTCGGCGCCGCTCGGCCTGACTGCGCGGGCGTTTCCCTATAAATTTAACTGATCACCGCGTCGATACTGTAAGTAAGCAGTTATAAATAATCTTGCTAATGTAATAGGAATTAATCCAAGTACTATACCAGATAGAAGAGGTTCAACCATAGTTGTTTTTGTATTTGAAGTAAAAGATTTTGAATAATACAAATCCTAACTCAATCCTATACTCTACAGTCAATTAAATTTATAGTAAAACGCCCACGCAGTCAGGCCGAGCGGCGCCGAGCGGTGACATGCGGCGTTGTAGCGCGAAGTCAAATCAAGTGGCGCTGGTCGACAACAAGCGGCGGTGCGGTGTGGTGCTGGGGGGAGTGGATTCGGGGTGGTGTGAGGTGGTGGTTGAGAGGTTTTGGGTGAAGGGATGATGATGGGAAGGATGGCGATGAGGGTGAGGCATCGTGCGTAGAGGATGACGCTACTACGAAGAGGCTGCTTGTGAAGGGCTGTGAAGGGTATGGGCTGGCGCAGCGCGGACGGGAGCGCTGCGCCCGCAGCCAAAGTGCGCTTGCGTCCCACGACCTCCTGAATGCCACTCACCACCTTGATAAGGGGGCCTGTGTAGCCCAAGTTATCAATTAGACTGGGCACCTAGAGCCTCACACTTGGACCCCTTTGTGGGATTGCAGGCCCTCCCATCACGGTCCCATTCAGGGTGGCAAAGACGGGAACTCACTGCTTGCAGACACTTTCAGGGTCCCATTTGGCCCTGCTAGCCTCCAATGGGATGGGCCATTGCCTCGTCCCGTGTGTGTTGGTACTGGGACCGATTCTCATAACTTTTCGGTTGTGCAACGATGACCACTACCGGGCCCACTTTCCAGCACAAGGAAAGGGATGCTGAGCGTGAGTCCCAGCCTTTTTTTTTTTTTTTTTTTTTTTTTTTCGGTTGCAAGCAGGGTTGCCAGGCCGAACGTACGGAGGCCCCTAAGCTGACCCCCGTACATTCGGGCGTTCGGGTCTCAGTACGGGGCCCGAACCTGAAAGGGTTCGGACCCCGCAAAAAAATATTTTGGCACCTAGATATTATTATTTTTTTCTGATTTGTTTTGTGTGAGTTCCTTGTGATGTAAGGTATCTCCCTGTTAATTTTGAAGCCATTCTGTTCAGCCAAAAAAACATGAAAAATCGGCAAAGATGGTAGTGTCAAAACTTGCTTGCCCACTCACTAATTTGTTTTCTCTCTTCTGACTTTTTGTTTTTCCTTTTATTTCGGGGCATGAAAAAAATTATTATTTTTTCAAACTTTATTTGTAAATTCTCTATTATGGAAGCTACAGATATATAAATTTTCATGGCATTTGTCACAGCCAAAAAAAAATGAAAAATCGCCAAAGATGGCGGTGTCAAAACGTGCTCGCCCACTCAATAATTTCATTCTCGTTTTTTTTTCCCCTAATTTTTATCATTATTATTTATTTTTAGTAGTTGATTTTTATTTCAAATTTGGTAAAGAATTTGGATGTAACGTTGAGGCAGATGTTGTTTAGTTTATTCTTATGCATAACATTTTCGTTTTTTCAGATTTTTTGGAATTCAGTTTTTTTT